AAAGTTTGTAATGAATTAACAGAGGCGGATCCAAGTTTCAGTAATGGATCGTAATTTCACGTGCCCTGTGTTTTCGTGTCTAACCTCCAACAATATAACAAACGTAAAAATTCCTCTAATGTCTCTGTATATTTTTATTTTCTCATTTCCTTTAATTCGCGGACGTTGTGGCATTGATATAATTGGCCCATTAAATGTGTGGTTTTCGTAATTAGGGAAACGTGTTACGCGCCACGGACAGTAGCGGTACAGTCGTTTGAAATTTCCATTTATATGACACGAAGCCGCATACACGTTCACGCACAAATACGTAAATGTCAGTCATACGGTTGAGCAGATCGGTGTAGGTATGTGACCGGGTGCAATTAAGCTATTTGAATTAGAAAAACGAAAACCTATCGTGTTAGCGATCGGTATTTCAAAGAACTGCGGCTACTTGTTCGTACGATGGAGGGCCAGCAGGTATGTAAACTAATCAGAGATATCGAAAACTATCGCAGTATATAGTCGTAATGTTTGATCAACATGTTATGACTCATTCTTTCATGTGGCAGGCGAAACTAAATCCTTTGTGTTTTTAATTTTGAAATTCTCGTATTTAGTTTCTTACTTTTTTTTGTGTAGGTAAGGGCGCTGTACGATTTCACTGGGGAATCAGGAACAGCAGAATTGTCCATTGTAGCAGGAGAGATATTAACTGTCATGAGGGACAATGTAGGTGATGGATGGTGCGAGGGTTTCAATCAGAGAGGAAAATGTGGATTGTTTCCAGCAGCTTACGTTCAAGTAGTAGAGACTGCTGCATCCGCGTCAAGTATTAATCATTTATACATTAAGGAGTCTCCTTTTTTTTAATGCATAACATTTTAGTTACCATAAGTAAATATTTTGATACATTAGGTGCCATGACATCGTCCCAACAAAGTTCAGGAGATTATTGGGACGATGATTGGGATGATGATTCTGAAGTTGGTCAAACACAGGCCTATGTTCCTCCTCAACAACAACAGACACAACATACAATACAGTTAACGCAAGAACATAGTACCAATGATTACGGAGATGCATTTTCTATGCAAGCCATGAATTTTGTGATACCTGAAAGGCCTATGCCTAACGTACCAAAGAAAAACAATAAATTTTCTACATTAATAAAGTCAGGTGCAGATAGCTTTTTATTAGGAATGCGAGTAATGAATGTTCCTGATACTGAAAAAATATATATCGAGGAACTTGAAGGAGGTCAATGTAAATGGTCTCAGAGGGGGGAATCCTATAGTTGTGTAGTCACATCTCCCAAAAAGGAATCCAAGTTAAAGGGCCTTAAAAGTTTTATAGTTTATCAACTCACGCCTACGGTATTTAGATATGTTCAATTTTTCTTTTTGTATCTCTTAATTATCAAACATCGAATTAATATTAACTTTTTGAAACAGTTTAACAACATTCAAGTGTCCAGAAGATATAAACACTTTGATTGGCTACACGAACGTTTGGAAGAAAAATATTATTTTATCCCTATTCCACCATTGCCTGATAAACAAATATCGGGAAGATACGAAGGACAATTTATAGAACACCGTCGTTCGCAGCTACAAGAGTTTGTTGATTATGTCTGCAGACACCCTGTACTAGCACGTAGCCGTGTTTGGGAACACTTCATAACTTGTACAGATGAGAAAAGGTGGAAAGCTGGCAAGAGGCAAGCGGAGAAAGATGAATTATTAGGTGTAAATTACTTTAATGCTATTCAATGCCCCGAAACCCCTATGGATGCAATAAAAGTGGAAATACAAATGGATACTTATAGTAGATTTATAAGTTGTTTAGATCCTGTAGTTAAAAATTTCATGGCTATGGTCGTTGACCAGGCGAAGAAGCATCAAGGTCTCTATAAAAGAGAATTTCAGAAGATCGGTCAGTCTTTTACCGCTTTGAGTCTTGCGTTAGAAGGTGACGATAGTAGTCGAGGAAGACTGACCTGTGCATTAAAAGCAACAGGTGAAGCATATAACGATATAGGAAAGTTATATGCGGAACAGCCAAAGTTCGACTGGGAACCTCTTGCCGATAAATTTCATATTTATAGGGGAATCATCAGTAGTTTCCCAGATGTAATCAGTATACACAAGGTAAACGAAAGAGTTCATTCAGTTCATATATCGGTGAATTCTAGATAATAAAATTTCCTTTAAATACTATACATCTTGGTAATTATTTTATAGAGTGCTGTGCAAAAAAGGAAAGATTGTGAAAAACTTGTAAGTGAACATAAAATGGAATCGCAAAAGTTACGAGAACTTTCGCTTCGAACAGATGTGATAGCGAGAGCGCTTCTCGCCGAAGAAACGCATTTTCAAACAGAAAAAGAAGTACACATAACTCAGGCAATGAAAACGCATTTAACGGAGCAAATAACGTTTTATCAAAAGATTGTAGATACATTACGGGAAGCGTTGAATGCATATGAAGGCTGAACTCTATACCTATTACAATGTAAAAAGTATTTGCCCGTGAATATTATTTCGTTTAATATTTATAACAGTAAAATATGGAATTTAAGGAGTGTGAATTGTATAAAGTAAGAATGCAATGAATCGTGTTCGCGATTCAACCACTTGTAGAGATATTTTGGAGTACATTATATTTAATTATTGATAAGAGCTATTCGCAGGAGAATTATATAAGTTGAATGAGAAAGAGCTAATAGCTTTTTTTTAATGTACCAAAAAGGCACTCCGTATATATATATATATAAATAATCACACTGTATGTATGTGTGTGGGTGTGTGTGTGTGTATGCGTATGTGTATGCGTGTGTACGAGCGTGAATGTTTTTTAAGTATAATGCTTCTCACGTTCATTTCAGTTATAAAATGAATAAACAATAAAATTCTATTAAATTTGACTAAAAAAAGGTGAAATGCAGTTTTCAAACGACAGCTACTATTAACGATGCATAGTAATATATTACATGTTAATATTAATGTTAACTTTTGTGGCTGCTATTTTTAGAAATTTAAACATTTACTGTATAAATATCTATCATTGTGTATGTTAAATTTAATCGCGACGTCTTTACTACAGTACAATTATATTCACACATATCTATTATATACTTTGTTACATGATACTAACGTATGCTTGAAACGTATGTTTAATTTTATATATATATATATATTATATCAGTAAATTATTGTACATTAACTGAAAACTAAATCATAATTAATTGCAGCTCACGGTAAAAATTTACATTATATTCCATAAGAAATGTACGTTAATTTTATTAATTCTTCATTTGTTACAATTGAAAATACATTGGTACAATACTTTATTAAGCATCATGATGCAACTACAATTTGTATAGAATATAATGTAAACTGTGTATGTTTAACAAAGTATTATAAGCTTCTGATTAATTACTGGATTTATGTTTACAAAAAAAATGAACTGAAATTTGTTCAACTGCAGACTACTAGTGAAAAATTATATATTAAGATATAATGCTTTGAAAACAATTTGTATAAAAAGATAGCTTACTTAAAAGTGAAAACAAATAATTTTATAACTGATATTATTATTATTATTATTATTATTATTAACAGTAGCAGTAATAGTAGTACTAGGAGTACTAGTAGCAGTAGTAATAGTATTGTTATTATTTTATAGAGGAAGTTTTCTCTATGCCTAATGAGCCTCTCCGGACTTCGACAGACGCAAGCGGCGCGCAAATGATTACGCTGTTTGTAATTGCTTCCCATATTCGTGGAGTGGGCCTCTATGACATTGCGAAATTCAAATCGTATGCTCTGAACAAACGGAGCGACCTCGGAATAACTGCCTGGTAGTCACACGCTCCGCGCAGACAGAGATGATTTTGAAATTTGAGAGCAACAATAGCTTCACGACCCTGAGCACTCCAATAATGAGAGACCTGATAGTCCCGAACAAGAAGTTCCAATAAATTTGGCACTTCTTATTTTCGACAATTTCCTTTACTCAGATGGAGCATCGCATACTTGTCCAACCCGAAAGCCATTCCAATGTCCCAGGTGTACCTCTTCTTCTTCTTCTTCTTCATCTTATTATTATTATTATTATTATTATTATTATTATTATTATTATTATTATTGTTATTATTTTAATCATCGTTATCATTATCACTATCATTTCCATGAACCATATTTCCTTTTTTGTTCAAAAGGGAATCCCAATAAATGTGAAGTAAATTAAATCTTAGCTATTTGGTTTTTTTACATTTTAATCTACAAGCGTGCAATACTTCCATTACTTTTAATAGTTTTACAACTTAAATTAGTTTTTTACAGTTTGTAACAAGAGGTAACTGTGCTATGAGTATAACAAACCAAAAACTTGTATTAGCTGCATACAATATATGTATATGTATATATATATATTTTTTTTTATGTTCATCAATATTTCATGAAGTAGCACCACAATCGAGAAATTCATAAAAATTTGTTAAACTTGAATGACTGATATCTATTTCTTATAATTTTCATAATCACAAGCCAGCTTTGTGAACATGTATCTTTCATGGACTTCAAAGTTTTAAACTAGTCATTTTCACCAGTTCATTTCAAGTGAATAAGAATACATTGGCACTGTAAACTAGATCAATTGTATTCCGATTACTAACAGCCCTCATATCATAAATGTGATCATCTTGTGTTGTTAATTTTCTAAAAGCATTGCCCTCCTTTGTCATGTACAATTCAACAATGAGACACATCCGTCACTTACATCTCCACATGCATAAATTCAAGCATAACAATTACAAGACTTACGCAAACAGAGAATTACAATAGGAAGAAGTTTGTTCATATATTAGAATAAATATATTGGAGCATAGGCAAATATATAGGCAACAATTGAAAGTTTTGTTTAATCAACAGTACAGACATTCTCCCTGCCTTGCTTTCTCTCTATCTTTCTTCCGTTCACGCTTTCTCTCTTTCACTCTCATACACACTCTATCAGTCTGGCATTTTTATATTGTTTTTTTTTCTTCTTCGAATAAGATTCCCGCAATAAGACATTTTCATTGCTATTTAAAATCAGCTTATCTTTACATCACATTTGCAATGTTCCTGCCGATATGTTTATTTATGTGGCGCGTGTTTTTCGATTTTATTTTTGAGGAAGAGGGACTTTTAGAATAGAAGCTAAGCTCCTGTCATTTTCTTTCTGAATTTTAAATAATAAGCTCGTTACTAACTCACAAACATCAGCATTAGAAATCTTTTCTTTTCTGTTTTTGTAATAAACTCTTATTAGATAACACGATGTTGGCAATGTGAAAAATACAATATTGTTTATTAGATAGGAACAGAATGAACAGAGTGAATAATATAAGAAAAAGTGAAACAAAGTATTAAACAATTATTAATCAAATAATGTAAAGTTAAAGAGCTTGTATAACTTCAAGAGAATCGATAGAATTTAAATGGAAAGTATTTTCTATTCGTGTATTTCTTTTTACTGTTCCATCATCGTGTCATCCAAGGCACTTTAAGAATAATCTCGGTAACTCGAATCGAAGTAATTTTGATACGAAAGCATTTTGATAAAAGAATGGACATACATCACTGCTTTTATCTTGTTTTCCTTCGCGTACGTGCTCTCGCATTAAATTTATGTAACATTTCTTTAAAGAATAATGTAATTAGCTACCTTACAACTAGTATAATTATTATCGACCTCGAAACCATTTGATAGCATTTAATGAATTTCATCAACGTTCTTCACACTTTGTCGACTATACGAATAGTGCCCGGTATACGGACGGATCTCTAGCGCGATTGTGTCCAAAGTTACTATCATATTTATAGTTTAAAAGTTAAAGAGAAGAGATAGCAGTAGTTTATAATAAAATGTGTGCCCGCTCGATAAACAGCAATAATTCTCTTTACGTTAGTGTATAGAATATGATTTTTTTCCTTTTTCAATTGATTATACATTATGTAAATTTATTTAAAAGCACGCCTTAAAGAACACGAAAAACATCAAACTGTTTTTCATTTAAATACAATTTTACACACATAGTAGATCATGTTCTTTTTCGTTTGTCCGCATAACAAAGCCATTTAAATTTATGTAAAAATACTCCAAAATTCTAATGTCCGTTACTCCGAAAAATCATTGTATACACTTCAATTAAAAGAACTGTTCCGTGTCAATTAAAATTCTTAATATTCATTGTTAATATTAGTATTGATTTACTATTGAATGTAACCATGACAACATTATTTATCACAAGATTATGGTATTATTGCACTCGACTGCAATTATTTATAAAAAAATAAGGTAACCACTGTGTAATAAAAGTATTCCTCAAGCGTTTCGTTAAAGTACTTGTTACACTACGTACCGTGTACGTTGACATTGTAATAAGATACAAATATAAACAGCTACATTATATTTCAACTTTTGCAACTTATGCGATGACACCACTATTATAATAATTCTCGATATCCTATAAAGAAGTATTAAATACAAAAATAGTTATATTTTCACAATATATTGATGGTGTTTAATCACACGTTTACATAAAAAAATGTAACATATATATAAGTAATGTGTATATTCCATTTGCAAACATATAATCAGCAATGAATGTTTCATTGGCATGGACAATGAACGCTTAACTAGCTCAACGTCAAGT